TCTCTCTCTCTCTCTCTCTCTCTCTCTCTCTCTCTCTCTCTCTCTGACACACACACACACACAAACACACACACACACACCGGTGGCCTCTGGAACCGAAAGGCAGCCGCGGTCAGTTGCCACATCTCCCGCGGGTCCCCAGGGATGCCGGTGGGTGAGGAGCAGCCGGTGCTGCCGCACGCGTGGCTCTGCGAAGCGTCTCCTCTCTCCCTGTGGCGTTTGCGACGCGGCGCGCCCGGGGCGAATCGTGAACGCAGATATTTATGTAGCATTAGGCGAGACCTCCTCGCCGGAGGGACTGAGACGCGGAGGACGCCGGGCTGCGGCTGCCGAGAAACTTCCACTTCTCAGCTCTGGGACTCCGTGCTCCGCCGCGGCAGGCTCCAGCCCCTCGTCAGCTGAGCAACGCTAGGATCTGTCCTGGTTACAGCTGTATTTATCCTCATCTCCTTCGCTCTAAAGCCATTTGTCTAGTCACTACAGAGTTTCTCCGCTGCCGTGTGGTCTTCCTGCTAACTCAGCCTAGGGAGGGTAGATTTGAGGAATTCTTTCCGTTCAGGGTGAATGGCAGCACATTTAATTAGCCCTCCTCTTTCCTGACTTTTTAAATTTAAATTAAGGAGGGAGGTGGAGAGCTAACTTTTTAATTATTTTTTTCACGGTGGTGGGGGGGGGCTGTTGAACAACCGAATAGATTGCTCATCTTGACACTTAGCGAAAACGTATGTGGTAAGCACAGAATAATGTAAGGGTCGGTTGTCATGCATGCATTTGACAGTCTGCGCGCTCCTACACGTGTGGAGCAGAGGGTCGCAGTGTCCGTGGTCCCATATATTGTTGTGGAGTGCATTAGATTTATCACATTGCTACAAGCCAGGAAATCAGTAGCGTGTGTGCTCTTAAACCCTATACGAATTTAATAATGTTTAACTTGGCTTATGGGCTGATGCATTTAGCCAATTTTAATAACTTTTCTGCACGGGGATCGTACTAGTCTACGATTAAGGAAAAAAAAAAAAAAAACATTGTCTTTGGTCCAGTCTTTCCATTTCTGCTCTGGGTTGTGGAAATGAATAGGTCTCCAACTTTCATTTGCAAGCAACAATCCAAACGAAATGCCTAAGAGTTTTACTGAAATAAAATATCCTATGGTAGCCATGGAAACAAATAGATTAAGGGTTATTGGTTTCTTCTGTGTGGGGTGGGGGTGGGGACTTGATGTTGGGTCTCCTGAGTTATGTCTCTAGTGAATGGTCACACTCCAAATACTCAGTGTGGGAGATGAGCCACAGCAGAATTGGGTTTTGTGAGGGGTCTATTAGAACAAAGACGACCGAGAAGCCCAAGAGAATGACTCCTGCTAACTGTGGTTCCTCACATCCAGAACGAAAATGCATGAAGGCATTTTTGTTTTGTTTTGTTTCCAAGTAGATGAGAATTGAGTCTGTATTTTTTTTTTAAGACTAGAAGATGGTTGTTTTTTTTTTTTTTTTGCTTGTAAGCTATTACTAAAGAAGTCGTTAAATCCGGCCCCTATTTTCTAGGAATAAACACGTTAGAAGTGTAGACGTTAGTGTAGACGGAGTGACGGAGTGTCCCAGTTACTATCAACACCTGTCAGTCTAAGGGGGGCATATCATTAGTCTATTCAAATCTCGCCTGTTTCAATATTCATGCATTTCCATGGTGATCCACTCTGGTTTTGTTTACTTAATCAACCTTATAAATCTTTGGCATCAATTTCAGTTGTGCCATCCCCCCCCCCCATTTATAATTTGATTTGGCTGCAGCTCATTCCTAATTGAAAGCATTTCCTTGTCTTCCCAAACTAGTTTCCAGAAGTTTATGTGATTCCCAGGAACACAGAGATAAAACACCATCAGTATAGTGTTTGCTACGGCTGTGGTGTGTGTGTGTGTGTGTGTGTGTATGTGTGTGTGTGTGTGTTTCCTCCCACAGGCTTAAAATAAAGCCTCTTACTTAATGGCCAAAAGATGTCAGTTTTAATCTAACAGAATTGACTGAAGTTTTTCCTTCCTACTTTTCTCTCCCTTTTCTCTTTCCTCTTTTTTTCTTTTCCCATTCCCCTTCCTCCTTTTGTGGAGTAAGTATTCTTTTGTGTCTTTAGCTTGATAGGGCTTGAAGAGCCATCAAAGCCATGTATTAAAGTCTGCTTGTCCTTCCGTAAGATCTTTTCTCTTCCAGTAATGGATAGAGCCAGAAGGTTCCAGAACATCAGAGGATTTCTCAAAATATAACATATATTTAGTTGTAGCGCAAAGTGCCTCTAGGATCACAGTAACATTGTAAGTCCTCGGAACAGACAGTTTTACTTAACTGCAAGTGATGATTTTGCTCATCCGCTTTCAACTTTGCTTTCTAATGATGCAATCCCATGCTAATCGCAGCCCTGTATATTTCAGAAATATCAAGGCAAGCATTTGCACGCTACTGACTTATTAGGATCAGGCAAAGTAATTGGAACACTTAAGTTCAAAGTCAGAAGGAGAAATGGAATTATAGCCAACCTTATGATTCTATAATCAGTCAACTAAGCGCCTACTTGGGAGTAGGAGGAGGAAGAAACACTGTGAATAAGAAATGCAGCCTTCGAGAGCCGTGGATGAAGCCAAACTGGTGTAATTACAGTAAGGTGACTAGAGAAAGAGACATGTCTATAACAGATCTGCCCTCCCAGACCTTTCTTAGTGCTAGGCACAGCTCAGCATGAATGTTTAGAAACTGGGAAAATACTTCTACTTGATGAGCAGTTTTCTATTGCCAAAAAAAAAAAAAAAAAAAAAAAGTCTAGGGTCCTCTCCTAGTATGCATAAACAGTTAGGTAGGATGGTTCCTGCAAAATACTTCACATGCAATGACTTTTACCCTAGAAAATGGTTATAATAATGTTGGTTAGTAAGGAGAGGTATGCATTAGAATTCGTCACTAGAATCTGGAATAAAAAATGCTGAGATCACAGCTATCCTAAAAATCAAACCCTAAAGCTCTTCCTCCAACACATTTGCTCTGCTCAAGTCTGAGGTCACAAAGGCAGACCCTGTGCCCTTCGAGGG